AACCTGGTTGAGCTGCCATTTTTTTATTTTTTAATTGGGGATCATCCAGGCAACTGGTTTGGTTCTACCCCAATCCTGGTCCCTAGTAAAAAACTATTGAATCGATCAACAACCCAATGTCCCGAGTTGTCGAACCGTTAAACCGCTGACTCATTCAATGGTTTTTGGCAATTTTTTATCTTTTTTTTAATTTTTGTTGTCAGAACAGGTCATCTGTTAGAATCGTCAACCTGAAAACCAGTGGTCAGAATGGTTCCGTTTTTGNGTTTAAAGTAATGATGGCAAAGTCAATATTGAAAGGCCTCCCTCAATTGGAAGTACAAACTAACACAGTATGTGTTGGATGCCAATATAKCAAGATACACCAATTGCCATATATAGAATCAAAGTTTGAAGCTAAACAGCCTTTGGAGCTCATTCACTCTGATATATTTGGATGAGTGAAGCAAGAATCAAACACCAGAATCAACAAGTTTGACAAGAAAGCTATCCGATGTATATTCCTCGGCTATGACAACGAAAAAAAGCTATCCGAGGTATTGTGATCCAAATACCGATCATTGTTATACATCTCGAAATGCGGTATTCGATGAAGCTACATCTTGGTGTTAAATTGAGAGAATAATACTACCCAATACTATAATTTTGGAAGAGAATGTGCAAGAAAAGATAAATGAGGAAAAAGATTCAAAGCCTTAACTAACTCATTAGATTCTCAAAAATCCCTAGGACCATGGAGTATTGGTGTTCATGAACAGAAGACAGGTGAAGATATTAGACCAAATTAAATGGAGGATTTAGAGGAGCAACCAAGACAAAAATTACAATGGTTAGACATCCTAAGTATATAAATGTTGCACTTGCTGATGAAATCATTGACTCTAAATCGACTAGTTATAAAGAAGCCTATCAAAATGAAAAATAGCAAAAGGTAATGAGAGAAAAAATACAATCCCTAAAGCTAAAAGAAGAATTTGGATGATTTGCTGAATGGGAGGAATTAAAGAAGTCAACATTGACTTCTTTAGTTGGTTTACAAAACCGACATAATACTTGTTTTTATTTTCCTTCTTTTTTTATTTTCAATATTTTTTTTGTCACAAAAAAAAAAAAGAATTATATCGTGAAAACTTCTGATCAATCAATTTGTATCAAAAACGTGGTAACCAATCATGTCTTATTTATCAAAATTCATGCATGGATTTTGATTGATCAAAACTCTACTTAGACCATGTCCTTGCTGCATCATTGATTTTCCCTTTTTAAAAACATAAAAAAACAATCACCTATCGCATTTGCTCAATGACTTTTCTCGGAATGAATTTTTTGTAATTAATGTATTTATTGTTTATTTCCTCTATGTTTAATATGCTAAACATGAAGTATGAAAGGCAGAAATTAAATTCGAAAATGTATTTATTGCAGCATTATTGATATCGTCGGATACAAGGCCTGGCTGCCAAAGCAAATGTGGGAATGTTAGCATCCCATACCCGTTTGGCCTAGTGGGAGATGATCCAACCTGTTTCAAAAATGATGACTTCAAGTTATTCTGCAACACTGCTATCCTTCCTCCAAAATTGACGTTTTATGGCGATTACGACGGAGATGACCATACCATTCTCCATATATCACTTGATGCTCATCAACTAACGACTTCCATTCTGGGAAGTGTCCAATGTTACATAGATGGACACCTGGTGGGTTATCGCATTAGGTATTCTTTTGCAAACACATACAGGCTCTCCAATACCAGAAACAGATTCATGACAGTCGGTTGCGACACGTATGGCGAGTTGTATGATTACGAGGGCAATGTGTTCTATGTCAACTGTCTATCGTCATGCTTGAACGATACAAAAGTGACAGCTGGTTCATCTTGCGGTGGCTTTGGTTGCTGCCAGACAACCATACCAAACGATCTTACTGATTTTGATGCATTCATATGGAGCCATAACGACTTCAAATACATATGGAACATTAGTAGATGTGGGTTGGCTGTTCTTATGTCCGACGCCCAGGATTCATTTGAGTCACAAGTTTCACATCTCTGGGACCTAAGAAACAATGTTGAATACCTTCTTAACGTTGGGATAAGGACTTCCATAGTACTGGACTGGGCAATTCGAAACCAGGGTAGCGAGGAAGCACAAACAGACGTGGCTGGGATATCTTTGCAATTGCCTGCATGGTTTTCAAGGGAATCCTTATCTTCCCCATGGTTTTCAAGAAAGGAATCAGAGGCCCGAGGAGTTATCCCCGGGTAGACACTTTGACACTCAAGTTTGTAAAAAGCAGTGGGTTGTCAGGTCAGGTAGTTAGGGAATGGTGTTCGTTCGAGCAGAGCAACAGTATGGGAATTAAGAGTTGGRTCCTTTACCTTGAGCAGGAGGTACATTTTTATAGTCTAAGATCCGTGTCTTGGTCAAATGAGGCTCTTAGGGTTATCAAGATGAGGTTAACCACTGAAGTCGATGAGTAAGTGCTTGGCCGTGGGGGTGACGTGGAAGAGTTCTTAGGTCTTCGGCTAAGGAACTTGAAGTCAAAATTTAGAATACAAACACCACCCCCCCGTTCCAAAGTCGATGAATAAAGTGTTTGGCCTCGGCGTGGCATGGAAGAGTTCTTTAGTCTTTGGTTGAGGAACTTAACGTTGGGATAGTACTGGACTGGGCAATTCGAAACCAGAGTTGCGAGGAAGCACAAAGAGACGTGGCTGGGATATCTTTGCAATTGCCTGCATGGTTTTCAAGGGAATCCTTATCTTCCCCATGGATGCCAAGGTATGCTATTACTACGAAATCCAAACAATTATTCTTCTCTCTTTTACTTCAAAATTTAAATACAAATATTAAACATAAACGCTT